TTTTTTTTTTTTTTTTATAAAAAAGTTATTACAAAAACAGTTTTGCATGAAATCTAATTCTTGGGACATGTAGTTAGGTTAGAAAATATTTGTTTTGAGGTGCAAACAACAATAATTTAGCTTTTTTAAATATTTTTTCTCATCTTGTCAAAAGGATACATACCATAAAGACATTACAATTGGCTCTAAAGCTGCAGCATGTAACTTCTATAAATATGTTTTTTTTTACATATTCATCTACTGTCACTATGCTGGGACATTAAAGTATGAGAAAGAAAATCTGTAAAAAAAAAAAATTAAAAATCAAGCTTCTTTGTCTTCTCCCAGTGATCCTACTGCCATCTGTAGAAATACACGACACCCAGTAAGAAACAATCGATTTTATTTTAACAAATATGAAAAAAAAAAAACACATTCAATTTAAAAGTTACATACAGGAGCTTTAAGATTTTTTTTTTTCTTGAAAGAATAAAGTTTGGTTTTAATCACTCACAACCAGGACAGAGTTTAGTTTTTCCTACCTGCTGTGCCATACGAAATCATTTATGTTGCAACCTGGTACATGGAAGATCATAGCAAAGACTTGTGAGATACTAAACCAGCAACCATTTTAAGTCCTGCTAGAAGCATGTATTACAAAAATAAAAGTCAGGAGGATGAGGATGGCAACCCAGGCGTGCTGCTGTAAGTCCTGGAGTCATTGATAAGGACAGCCTCTCTGTGGGTGTGGCAGAGGCCATTTTTATGCAGTCTGGGAATCCTCCAACCGCCACCTGGTTGTCAGATAACCTCCCTTCTGGTACCTCAATATTTAATAAGCAATATTTTATTCAAAACAATATTGTTTTGTCAATTTCACAGTTGTTACTATGTGGTTGCCTATTCTATAAATCCCAACAAAATACAACTTGAGATTATGCTGTTGCTGTAATAGTGGAAAATTGAAGCTTTTGGTATCAGCTTGTATCCTAAAAGAAGAAATTCATTCTACATTTCCATAATTTAGTTACCTTGAGAAATAATTTAACTTATGAAGCACTCGGAGAACATTTTTCTACATTTTTAACTTTAGCACTACATAATTGCACTTTTCCATGCTTTTGTTCTCTCTCAATATTTTTATGTTAATTCATTTATTTATTTATTTATTAAAAATAATGTGCAATAAGATTCTGGATGAGAAAGGATTTAGTCAAGTATTTATCTACTAATTTGTTGTGTTTTCAGCTGTTTTTAAAACCTAACCAGAGAAGCTAAAAAGACATCCACTTGCTCATGTTTATTTTTATATGCATTATTAATTACAGTTTAAAAGCCTTGCATATTGCCCTGGCTGTCTTAGCATACTAAAATTAAAATTAATCCTACACTAAATAGAAAATAGTCAAAAATGAATAGTTAAATACAAATAAAAGTGAACAAATCACTAAAAGTTGTGCTATTTCCAGAAGAATTTTATTTATTTTTTTCCATGAGATTATTAAAAACTCATGGGGGAAAAAAAGTGCAAAATGGCTTTATGTCACTGATGATTAGCACGCCCTTCCTCATACAGCTGGTGGTCTACAAGTCTTGAGTTATTTCAGATTCAGATCTCAATTTTGATAAAATGATAAGTCACTTAAAACTGTAATTGCTGAATCCATGCACAATTGAATTCTGTTTAAACTTGATTTGTGTCTCTTTAAGTCTAATCATTCACATCTTCACTGATTCAGAATTACACAACTGTGAGTCTTTGTACCGGGGCTCTGCCTATTTTCAATTTTCCTTTCAAAAATATTTAAACAAGAATACTTAAAGGCTCCAAAAAGTATGTATATTAGTGCTGTCAATCGATTAAAAAATGTAATCTGATTAATTACACTAGCACTATGTAATCACAATTAATCACTATGCCTAACTTTGTAAATTTGAAATATAAATACGCACACAGTTGTGGCTGTTGTGGGAATGACGCCGTGGGCAAGCCCCTCCTTCTGCCGCACTCCAACCAATTAAAATGCAAGCAATTATGAGATTGCTTTTTTTTTTTTTTCCAGCAGAAAGGAGATAATCTCCCATTATTTAATAGGGAAACTTACTCCACTCCCATGCATACAAATAGTATTGAATATAACCGCGTATTGTGGTTTAAAATGTATGAAGGGAAAAATGTAACAGAAAATTGATTTTTTTAATCGAAGTATATGTACAGTCATATGTTCAGTTTTACCTGAAAATCGCTATGTTGCCATTGTTTAGGGTCATGATGAGATGAGGAGTTCTGCTGCAAATACAACAGAGGTGACAGGGACAGCAGCATAGCCATAGTTGGGTATTATTAAAACATATGTGCATCAAAAATAATCAAACTTAAAATGGATGGTGCAAAGATTCCCTGATAGAACATAACCACTAATTTGCTCCTCATTTTTACTGAGCGTTCTTAATAAGGAAAAAATTGCTGGATAAATATTTTTTTTAAAAAGACAAACATTTCCGGTGCATTGTTTGTCTATTATGTGGCATGCTATGGCACAGAAACTACTACTACTTATAAGAAGAACAATGTTAAACATTTTTTTAAGCATTGTATAATGGGGCGTCATGATACTCTGTAGATCCTTTTGAGCAATTATTTACTATTCACAATGGAATTATGTTTTACCTGCTTCTGAAATACTATTTTATTAAAGCTCTTGTTTTAAAATGTGACACAGCTATAAAGCTTCTAGGTCAATAAACATTTTAAACTGCATGTCTTAACAAACAGCAAAATGAATGAATTAATAATAAAACAATGGATTTGATTTCAGACGCACTTCCAACAAAGGGTTTGTAGGTGCTTAGGGTTATTTGAGCTTTAGCGACTCGAATCTCTGTGTTTTCACAAGCTTTGCCCGCGAGCGGTGCCTCTAGGCAGCAAAATCTGCTGAAATCCTCACAGAGAGGCTCAACACATTAGTTCAGGCTTCTAAATGTTCAGTAGTTTGAAACGCTGCATTGATAATTCATTGTATGTATTCCTTGTCAAGCAAACAGACTGCGCTTGATATAGACAGTTTTATTTTACAGATGAAAAATGATGATTGCAGCAGTCCATCCTTGTCATGCTAGGGCTGAATATCTCTTGTCCGTGTGTTCTAGAAGATTTATAGAGTAAACTGTCCTGTCTTTGCTGGTAGGATGACACAAACCGTTTTGCGTACATGTGCTCTTCTCAATGACAATTATTGTGATTATCACTAGCTGAAGAAAGAGAAGAAACAGATGTGCCTCTGGGGGGAAAAAAAAACACGCTTTAATTGAAGTTGCAGCTGTTGCGAAATGGACTGTTATGGACATGTTGCAAGGAATGTTGAAGTTACATCCCTTGCACAATCACTTGTTTTGCATTTTCAAATAATTTATTTCATTATATATAGATTCAGCGGTGTAGTCACAAAGGGTAAATATTTTTATCAGATTTATGCTGATGGCATACATACCAAATATGGAGTCTACAATCCTCACTGCTGGTTTGATTCACCGTACCCGGGTCATTTTCTGCATGTCTTTCCCTTTTGCCTCAGCGCCTTCTTCCTGTCCATCTCCTGTTGAATGAAGGCACCTGGTGTTACAAAAAATATATTTTTTTAAAAACTAACATATTTTTATTTCATCCCAAATAATTGTTAAGTTTAATTTTACTAACCCTAAAGTACTCCCATTGCTGGGACATACATGGTTGATCCTGCTGAGCTGAAATTGTGCTTTTAAAGTCATCAACTACTGGCAATGCCTCTTACCCAGACAGGAGGCAGCCAACTCCACAAACCAGGTAACTTAACAAAAAAAGAGAAACAATATAGCTTACAACATTTTAAAAACCACATTGTGGTGCTACATTGCACGTGTGCTACATAGTATCACAGTAAGGTATAATTACATAAATTAATTACATCTCTAAAATACATGTTTTAACTGCAAAATAAAATAATACAGTGAGAGTATAGACTGATTTTACCAATGGCCGTTTGAAGCCATCACAGTTACCTTCCTTCTTGATAAAATCTGATGTCTCTTTGGGTGTCTCAAATTTGTATGCACCAGCACCATGGAGGCTGTGGGCTATTGTTTTTGTATAAGAAGGCCGTATTAAGATGAATTAGGACAAGTGCAACTTAATGCAGAAGGAATTACAGTGGCCTACTCCACATAATGGACCTGTTTTGACCGTCATATCATTAGTGGCATCTACTTTTAGAACAAGCTATTGAAAGGGAGCAGGTGTTGGTCTCACATGATATCCTGAGAACTAACAGAGTTGATATTATGTCCTTTGAACTGGTTATGATTTGGAATCTGTATTCTAGCTATGGAATTGGTTGCATGTTTCATTATTTGTCTTTGAATAATAATGATATTCAATGGTGATATTCAAAGACTATTTGTCTTAAGTCACTTATATTTAAAGACAAACTTTGAATATCACTGTGATAATAATATTCAAAGACCAATACCAATACATGTCTTTCATTCTTAAATTGATACATTGGTTTTATTCTTCATAATGTGGCGTGACACTTTCAATTTTTTTTTCCTCCATTGTTAAAACTAGATTTTAGCCACCCACTGTAGAGTCAGCCCATCACAATAGAAAGCACTATATGCAAACTAAAATGCACATTTGCAAAACAGAGATAGACATGCCTGTATTCATATGTTTTACATATGAAAAGCGAAGGGACAGTAAGTTTTCAGAGAAATCATTTCCCAGGCAAACAGCAGAAGATATTCGGTCTGAACAAGGAAGGAAGAAAAAGGTTTTCTTTTAATATGGAAAAATGGGAGGCAGGGGAAGAGTTAGCAGTAGCAGCCAGGATAATTGATGGCAACTGTTTGGGAAGAAGATTAAGATTCATGTGTAGGACCACACATGGGGGACTGAAATTCTTCAGCGCTAGAGGCATGAAGGGTGTGGGGTAAAAGTTTGAATGGCCTGCTAGCATAATTGATAAAGTGTCATCATGGTGCAGTGTATGAAAAAATGAAAAATAATCATGATGAAATTAGTAATTTTTTTCCACATAGCACAGAATTGAGGCCTCCAAACCGTGACCCAAACAAAGAGTGACAGAGGGACAAAAAAGCTCGGATGAGATATGGGGGAGAAAGAGATAGAGGAAAAAACATATAGTTGGAGCCCAGGGCAAGAAAAGAAGGTTTGTGGGGGGTTACCAGTTCTTATCCCCAGACTGGCTGGAAACAAGCTGGAGGCGAAATAAAGTCTAGGAGTTGCACTCTTCCACTCATCATCCACTTCCCTTGGGGGGCCTTTCAGCAAGGTGGTGAAGCCTCTTAGTTCTTACACTGTACAGTATGCAGCTCCTGCAGTGAATGCAACTGTTTGTATGGATAGTTGATACAAGGGAAGAGAGTGCAGTCAATCTGTTTTTCCTATAATATACTATGACTTCTGATTTAAACAATAGCTTTTCTTTCTTTCTTCCTTTCTTTGTGGGGCATGTTTGGAGGGTCTTAGGCTGAAAAGCCATCATACAATAACCATATGAATATTACAGAAAGAGGAATAAAAACAAGAACTATATTTAAACAATTTATGTTCATTATGATAACACTTGGACAATAGTGAAAATGCAATGTTTTCCTTTGAGGACCTGACTAGACTTCTGATTATGACGGGATCCTTGGTGACCTTGAACTTGGAACATGAACCACAAATAAAATAAGGATTAGAGAATAAGCATCAAGCTTCATGTTTTTATTGGCAAAGTTAAAGTTTTAGCAGAACCTCTAAATACAAATGAATTTGGTTTAAGCAAGCAATTTATTTTCACAAGAACTACTAATTGCAGTCCAACAGACGTCGCAAACATGACTGATAAAGAACTATAGACTTTGCCTATAGGCAAGAATCTGGCACCCCAGATTCTTGAAACTGAATGGTGAATTGATTATTCTGCATATAATCATCTAACCATTTGATTAGATAATTATATGTTGAACTTATGGAACTCTGCAATTTTATTCCCAAATGGTTATTTGAGTTACAGATATGAAATCAAGTTAAATTAAATTACGCTAATTTAATTTAGCATAATTCTGCTGTATCAGAATTTATCCAATTCTGATACAGCAATTGGTGGCAGCTTTAGGAAAAGTGCCATAAAATGCTATGCAGATTTCACTGCATCACAGAACAGTTTTTCTTTGAGCAATGCAGTGCAGAGAAGTGCAGCACTTTTGTTCTATATTGCATACAGTTTTTTGATCATAGAAGAAACACCTCTCGACCTTTTCTGTTGGCCTCATTGAATTTTGAAGAAAAATGGGGACAACACAATGTGGGAGATGCTGTACATATACAGCAGGAACACTTAAAGCCTATAGGCAAAGCAAAGCCAATATCCCAGGAGGCATTCACATGGCTAACTTGTGTGCTAGTGATGTTAGCACACAGCATACATGTATATTCTGCATATTCATGTATGTTGGGAATTTTTTTCGCGACATTTATATGACATTTTTATTTAAAACATTTTGTTGTCAAATGTTTTTGCACCTTCCCTGGAAAGTTAATCTGAAAAATGTCTACACTGACACCTATGACACGACATGTGCCTGTTGTGTATCTGGAATAGATTTTTGGGTAACACTTTATTTGAAGGGGGGGTGAATAAGACTGTCATGACACCATCATAAACATGACATAACACATGTCATGCAGATGAATAAGTCTTCATGAATATTTATGACTGTTGTCATAAAGTGTCATTCGGTAAATTATGACACTTTTAATACAAAGTTGACATTATTCAAAATGTCTTTGTTATGACAACTTGACATTAACCAAGAAATCATTACTGATATAAATTTGTTATAAAATAATTACTGATTTCACTTTAAAAATTAGGTAACTTTATGTTATTAAAGGTAAAGTTTGAACAGTAATGATTTCTTGGTCAATGTCACGTTGTCATAACAAAGACATTTTGAATAATGTCAACTTTGTATTAAAGGTGTTATAATTTACCGAACGACGCTTTACGACAACAGTCATAAACATTCATGAAGGCTTATTCATGTTTATGAAAGTGTCATGACAGTCTTATTCAACCCCCTTCAAATAAAGTGTTATCGATTTTGGTCTAAAAATGGGTTAGAAATAAACAAGATCACCAAGGTGTGGCCTGAGAGGGAAAACACGTTCTGCCTATATATATATATATGTAAAATTATCATATCTCAGGAGATTTCCTCTTGCCTGATTTGTCTATGTGCCTCAATTAGAGAAAGCATTAACACTTTTGTGGGGCCTGACATTGACAGAGTAGGTGAACATGTACTCTTATCCTGCCTATAAGTGAGATTCATAAATCAAACTAGAAGACAAAGAACTGAGTCAGTCTACATAACTTGAAGTTGAGATTCTGGAAATATTTCTTACACAGAGTAAGAAATATGTATGCTATATTACACACATTAATTTGTAATTAATGTGTGCAGAGATCAAAATATCAATGAGTAAAACAAGCATTTTCTGTCACTTAATTCCTTATGGGAAAAATGTTCCAAACTCATTGAGCTCATAATATCAAAATTGCCTTTTTTCTATTCATTGTCTTTTCTAGTGTGGATTCTGGAAAAAAAAATGAATTAAGCTGCTTATGAACAATATTTTTATGACATTTGACATGTCCCCTTCACTGTTATCAATGCTTGACCAGGACGGAAATGACAAGGAAAAAAAAAAGAAAAAAAAAAAAAAGAAAAATGTGAAAATATATGAATAATTTTGCAAAGAAAGTTAACGGCACAAAATAAGAAAACTAATTTGATTCATTCAGAAGCTGTGAGTTTCTCTAATATTCTGAACTTTGCCTATCAAATATTTAGTTAATCTTGTCAAGCTAAGGCTTTGCATTCAGTCTTTGGCTGTTTAACTGGTACCATACGGTTTATTTATCGAGCTCATGTGCTGTCACAGTAGTTTGTAGAGAAGTGAGACGAAACTATGGTATTCACCATGAGCTGAGCATACCGATGGCCAACTTAATAGCTTGAAATATATCAGATACACATAATGCAATTAAGTTATGCAAACCCTGAATGAACAACGTTATCTTCAGTGAAAAACTGTCACAAGGTGTTGGGTGTGTTTGCATAAGTAAGGCTTTGAATGCTAATTTGTGGTAGACCATATGGAGGCAGCCACAGCAATGTTAGTAGGCGACTGGAGCTCGGAGGGCAGCGAGAGGTTAGTGTTATTGGACCATGCTACCATTATGAACAGTCATCTAGTTATTGTTTTTGATGCGTATTAAGCTCCTCAACAGATGGACAATAATCTGGGGCATGATTACTATCAGAGGCAGTGGCTTGTAACTCATACTTACCAACCAAAGCTCATCTGGAGGACATTAGGGGACAATGGACTGCTCTGACTTCAAACACTGTTTCCAGCATGCCAGACAAAAAATATGACATTCACACCTATGCATAAAAAAATGATTCAGCCTGATTTTAACAAGATCCTTCTGCTTTATTGGCCCGTTAGCCAAACTCATCTATTGACACTGTTTACTTATGTAAGTGACATTTGCAACTTTATTTAATTCAGTCAGTTACTAGCGATTGGGATGACCTTTTACTGGCTTCACAGGCTGGCACTTATAAACCTCAGAGACTTGCCAGTTTTATAGCCACTCAATAATCACACAAGGCAGTATTGATGGAGTTGTTGTCTGTGACCACAGATCCGGACAATGTACTGCCTATGCAATCTTGATAAAGATATTTCTGAAATTAAAATTGATGAAAATGCGGCTCAGGGCCACTCCAGTATTCTTGCAAGCTTTTTGTTTATTTATTTTACACAAAGAACAGACTGCGTCTAGTGACAGTGTCAGAGAAAGTGATAGATGCATTTTGGTCGGTTATAGTGGCTATCTTTTGGAAATATATGGGAGCTATCATTCTAATTATCTGTCAGTATGATAAATATGCAATTTGCATTATCTCCCTTCTCACAAGCTGTCTACGTCAAAGCACTTAAGTCAAAAATATTTTATGTCCTTCTAGAGCAAATAAATTCTCTTAGATGCTTTTTAACCCAATGACTCTTAATCTCATTAACTACAACCACTGACAATTCTTGAGCTATTAATATGCAGTGTTTGAATCTATTGCCTCTTGGATAATATTCTCTACGATTTTTCCAGTCATGCAAATCTTTTAAGTACAAAGGCAATGCTTCTCATTGATATTACTAAGTTTAAATATTCCAGGAAAGAGTGGAATCAATCACACTGAGATAGATTTTATTTTATGGGACAACTACAGGCTTTATATGTGAAGATTCATTTGTTCTTGATGTCTGTTCCTGGATCCTCTGCAATATGTTAAACATGTGATGACTCAGGCTCTTGAAGCACTCTGTCATCTTCAGTCAGCAAGCTGAACATTATAAACGGTAGAGACCATGTTTCATACAACTTTTACCATGATGTACAAGCTCAGGTTTAACATGCTGAGCATGGGAACACATTGATTTCATCATGCACTAAGATGGGGGGAAATACAACTTGAGGTCTTTTATTTACAGCTTACCCATTTTTAGTGACTTGCAAGCAGACATTTAAGAGTCAGGACTATAAAAGTTTGCAGTAAATCTGCAACAGTTCATGCATCTTCAATTGCATAGGGTTCAGACACCACACATGCTTTTTTTTTTTTTTTTTTTAGCTAAATGAAATAAAGAATATTTCCTCACCTAACCTCAGTGTATTTAAAGCTAAAAATCTAGGCAAGATTGCAAGGAATATTAAAAAGAACTTATACAGCTTCTATCCCATTTAAAAATGTATGATGTATTGCTTTTATGGCTTTCCAAGCTCTTTACCTGATCAATTTTCAACATTCTTTACAGCTGCCACACGTAATGCAGGTTATGTTACCTGCAGCAATAGACAGTTTTTTGTGGCTTCAGTAATTTATATTTAATTCAATTAGTATACTTTGGTGAC